GTATGTGTGTGTGTGTGTGTATGTGTGTGTGTATGTGTGTGTTGTGTATATATGTATGTATGTGTGTGTGTTTGGAAGTTGGGGAGGCAATGTATCTGTATGGCGGGGAAACAACACAGGTGAGGACTCCCCAACTTCCCATTGAAAGCAAAGGATACGGTCAATAACACTAATAACTAACACGTGTACCACAGACACCCTCAGCCCATCACTCGTCAGTCACAGTGAGGTCAGCCACAGTGAGGTCAGTCACAGTGAGGTCAGTCACAGTGAGTGATATACATGTGTGCTGTAAAGGACAGGTTACGGCATGGGAACACAGAGTCACCTCTTCTGACCCTGTCTGTACACATACCAATTCGTAACAGGTGTCCAAGCAATTTCCTAATACGATCATTGCGCCTTCTCGATTGTCCTATTGAGACCACAAATAGGGCTCGTCACACTAACAAGAACAAACATGTCCTGTTTTTAGGGCCGCCTCGGCTCAGACCACAGCCTCAGGCACCAGAGCACGCTACCATTGCGCTGAAAGATGTGTCCCTGACGATTGAAAGAGGACAGGTGGTGGTAGTTACAGGGCCGGTGGGGTCAGGCAAGACATCGCTGGTGAACGCTATAATGGGCTGCATGCTGAGGGTAGAAGGTAGGGTGTTTCTGTATGCACCTGCACTTGTCCTACTATTTCTGTACGCACCTGCTGTGTCTGTGCCACTGAGCATTCCATCGCATTCGTAGCCGCCCGCATAGTCGCTCCACCCATCGTCGTGTCGTAGGGTTTTGGGGTTTTTGCTGCTAAGGGAGTTGTCACTCTCCGTTGTCTCAGGCACACCCTTTCGCCATTGTCCGTCACCTCTTCAGACCCCAACCACATGGCGGCCCTTTTATTCTGTCCTGGTTTGTTCACTCGGGACCACCCCCACCTCCCCATGTCTGCGGGGATTGGGTACGCCGCGCAGATCCCGTTTTTAAAGCGGGACAGCATTCTGGACAACATTGTCTTTGGGCGAAGGTTCAGTCGCGAGCGGTACATGCAGGTGCTGTACGAGTGTGACCTGGTCGCAGATATTCAGGACATGCGAAGAACACCTACAGACAGCCCTGCGCCCTTGACTAGTCCTATTCCCGGGGTGGACATCTCGTCGGGCGAGCAGGGGTCGCACCTAAGGTAGGCAGGGTCAGTAAGGTTTAGGGTTTAGGAATCTTTATTTGGTTACACGCCATTGCTATATACAATGCCTGACGTCCGGGGTGGACTTGTGGCTACCGGCAGGTGTTGGCAGTTCCGTAAGGTCCGTAGGGTTTGAGGTTTAAGGTTAAGGGTATGGGGGTTCGGTGGTTCTACCTTTGCGTATGGTAGCCTCCTGAATTGACCCTATGGCATTCAAATGGCGGGTGAACCTGTTGCTGGTATGGTTGGTGCCCTGCACTCGCAACTTGTGTGGGCACGATACGGCTTGGCTGGATATATAGGTGCGAACTACAGAGCAGTATAGAGCATGATGCGTATTTATGGCAATACATTTGATATCGGACACAACTGAGTCTAAAAGGATACGCACACCCCACACACGTGATATTGCCTCGAAGTTTCATGAATACGTCTACAGCAGCTCCATGAAGCAAGCCGTAATTCATAAATGCACCTAAGGTTAACTGTTGTGCCTCCAACACAGCAGAACAGTGCACACGTATGACTTTGATACGTGCTTCGTGCGGAGATCTTGTAATAGTCTTCC